CTCGTCTAACCTCCTCTCCCTCGGTTTCCCTCCGCATCCAACGGGAATTTGCTCCGTTCAGTGCGTTTTTTCCCATCGCACGAGTGCACTGCAGAGAAACCACGACTGCAGCGTTGACATCGCCATTCTGCGTTTGTCGCTTCGCCGCTACGAAGCCTCCTGTTAATACTACTACTACTACTATTACTACTACTAGTACTAATACTAATAATAATCAAGAAGCGGTTTGAATCATCTCTTGATTTCATGGTTTTAATCGTTGCCCCACACAACAGGCCACACACAAAGAGCAGTAATGAAATATCTTACGTAACTCAAAATTGAACGAGCGTACATTTACATTGCCACATAATAATAATAATAATAATAATAATAATAATAATAATAATAATAATAATAATAATAATAATAATGTTTGTTCCGTGTTCAAGAACAGCCAGTAGCCTTTTTGTTCAAACACAAGGAAAACACTGAGACAAAAAATAAACAAGAGACCGAAATCAGGGCTTAAAGACCTGTCCGAACATGGTACTACAGAAATCGTGATGCGATACGAGTCCGACATAAATCGTGCAACGCTCCGCTTCCTTCCTTTTTTTTTGCCGGAGGGAAAGTTTTTTTTTTTTAGAGCGCAGCTCTTAGGGGCCCGTTTCCAGCCTGGGCGGCGTCGGCGTAACCGGGGGGGGGGGGGGGGGGGGGGGGGGGGGGGGGTCGCGTGACCCCCCTCCGAGGTCACGTGACCCCCCCCCCCCGAGGTCACGTGACCCACTCTCCCCCGAGATCACGTGACCGCCCGGGGTCACGTGACTACCCGCAGGTGACGTGACCCCCCTCAGTACCCTTCCCTACTCCTCCTCAAGAGCTGCGCTCCTATTCGGCGTTACACGGATTTGTAAACGGCTTTCATTTTTTCTTCTTTTGCAAAATTTCGCTTGTGTCCTCCACGGGGGCCCTGAGCATGCTGATCAGGTGGGTCCGGACAGCCATTCACAAGCTTTGTTGGCTGTCGGTCAATCGCTCAAGGCCTCCGCTGCTCTTCAGGTCCCGAAAATGGGAAAGGGAGGCGGTGAGTTAAAGGCCGACCTACAGGATTGTCTTTTACCAGGCAGAAAACGGGTTCCCAGTTTCTTTCTCTCCACTCCCCCTCGCACTCTTGCCTTCTCCTATCTCCACCTGAGCGCGTCTCTGAGCTAATCTACGCAGAAAGGAAGAGCGTCTCCCTCTTTATCGAATGGAAAGGAGGAATTGAGGGAGAGTTTCCTCCTTTTTGCTTTGTTGGTCCGTTTTTAAGTTGTTGCTCCTTCCAGTGGTGAGGGAGGCAGGTTCCGCTCCAATGGTCTGGAGCGTGGTGGCACTACAATAATAATAAATATACTTTTTTGCAAAGAGTTCAGCCGCCAGCGAACGCTGCAAAATTAACGCAACATTAACACAACACAAATCCAAGCAAAGTACATGAGTCAGATACACAAGTTATAGAATTTTCGCTTACGGCTTCGATGACCCCAATATAGAAAAAAAAAAGCTTAACATAAAAAAACAAAAAGGAAGAAGAAAACAGAAAACTGCAATAGTACTGTACGAACCGTCCACTTGTAAAAGATAAATGCATATGTTGTGCGCACATTAGATTCTTTTTAAAAGTCTGTGGGCTTGAGTGGTTGAAGGGTTGTTGTCCCGAACCTCGATGGAAACCCCGGGGGTGTCTTCCGTCGGGGACCGGGGGACCGTGGAACGATGCAGGTTGCTGGCTGTAGGTGGCCAGGGCTCGGGAGAGGGACGACTAAGAAATTTAGTGTTCGATTCGGAACACAATAAAATTTACTTGAACTTTCCCGGGGTACACGATGCAATCAAACGACTGGGAAGAACTGGCCTCACGGGCTTACGATTGCGAGACACGGGGTCAAGTGTCCTACTGCGCACGGTGAGCAGGGTGGCTAAGCAGCCACCGTGCTCACCGTGCGCTGCAGCCCTTGTTCGCCGGCTAAGTAGCCGGCGAACAAGGGCTGCCGCGTACGGTAGGTTAAGGCCTTTCTAAACAGGATACTACAAAAATCGTGAGGCGATACGACTGCGACATGTATCGTGCAACACTCCGCTCCCGTCCGTTCTTTTTTTATTTTTTTTTTGCCGGGAACAGGTTTTTTTTTTTTTTTAATTTTGTTTTGTCCTTTACGGGGCCCTTGAGCATGCTCATCAGATGGGTCCGGACAGCCACTCAGAAGCTCTGTTGGCTGTCGGTCAGTCGCTCAAGGCCTCCGCTGCTCTTCAGGTCCCGAAAACGGGAAAGGGAAGTGCTGCCTTCGGAATCTTAGCCAAATAGATCAGAGCTACTTCGGCGGGTCGTGTCACGCGATAGCACAGATAGAGCGGGTAGGTGTTCGAACGCAAAGGTACAAAACCCTTACCCTGGAGTAAGATCGAGTAAATTGTGGAACGCGTCCAAGGATTCGAGGGCAGCATTGGCAGGTGGCGTGGGACGTCAAGTCTGACGAGCACCGAGGTCACCGAAAAGCGGAGGAAGCGACGAGAAATACCGTGATTTTGGCTCGGTGGTGTTCAGACACACATCGGACTGCCGGACGCTTCAACTTTCACGATTTTCGCCAGAGTCATGGCGCCTCACGATTTTCCTGTTTGGACAGGCCTTAACGCGTCGAACCGCGGGAGAACAACAGTAAGGGGCTCGCAAGCCCGTTCAAACTCGACGATGTTTCGTCCGGTCGGGGGTTACGACAGTGCGCCGAAACCTGTCCCATCCAATGAGGGTCTAGTTAGAATTCCATCAAGTACATGTGCCCCGACGCACTCTCAACCAATTTAACGGGTGAAACCACCCTCGCCAGGAGGCCAACAGGTCAGCTCCCAAGGACAGGTCCCACGACATGAGCCCAAACATAGAGACACGAGCTTTGGTTTGTTTATGGTCGGAGAAAATAAACTGGCTCTAGTGATTCCGGCGAGAATCGCCAGAACGTGCCTCACGGAGAAAGCCGTCCCTCGGAGTGTGAGCGTTAGGTACGGTAAAACCGATAGATAAACGGAGGCCAGACAGAACACACATGGGTCTCGCGATCACAAGCGTAGCGAAGTATCACACCGGATTCCAAGAATACGGGGACCACCTCGGGGGAAGGAGAAGGAGGGTGAAACGTTTACGTATATCTCCGTAAACTTCTGGCGCGCTCGGAACCCCCGCAGCCGGCCCCCCGAGCCACAACATGATCCGATGTCTCCGCCGTCGTGGCCTGCGCCCGAGTTCTGCCTCCACGGCACTTCGTCTAGTTTACGAAACGACCTTGCCGTTGACAAGTGCGTTTAGGGTTTATGCTGGCTGCGTAGGTTTGCGTGCCTGGATGCCCCGGACCTCGGGTGAGGGGGGAGACTTGCGGGCAATGACCAGCCGCGGGAAGGACGCAACTTCGCCCGCGGTAGAAAACAAACTATGGATTCAACACGTACCGGAACGTATAAACAAATGAAGAAAAAAATATTGCCGTTTTGGGCTGCGCGCAAAAATGCGACCACCTCTACAGCTCGTTTCAGTTTTCTTTTTAGAGTCCAACTCGAATATGATGTCGTGAGAGACAAACAAAAGTGTCTTGTACGTATAGAATCGTCGGAGTGGTCTGCCATACATTGTTCACACTCTCGGCACTTCAAAACGACCTATGTGTCCGAGTTTCCGAGGTGCAACATATGAACCTTTCAAACTGGCACTCCAAAAGTATCTTAGAACAACCGTTTGAGTAAACAGCGGTGGACATGATGGGAGATTCAGTTCAGCAGTTCTTGTTCCGCTTCACAAAGACCAAGAGGACAATGCCGAGTAGACTTGGCTTCTTTCGATCGCCTTCCATCGCATTTTTTTTCTGAAAAACCTCTTCGTGTTTAGTTGATATTGACTTTTACATCACTGTGAAAGGCACGTTTCCTATGGGAGCTTTCGTAGATCGGTTCCTTACCTCCGCGTTTCCTAGCGGAGGTAGACGCTAGAACTGAGCATGCGCACCGGTAGCTCTGTCTGCACAATTCCAGGGATCATTTCCGGTCGCTGTAAGCTAGCGGAATGGCGGTTGTGGTTGCAGCTTTCGCTGCCTTGCCAGCTTACTGGTGAACATTGCACCTACAATCTTTCTCTCTAGTATAATATTTTATTTTTACAAGAACTACCATATTGCGGGTGTATGAGAAATGGAAAGTAGTGTTGCAGAACATTTTCGAAATGTGTAACGGTAATCCATTACATTCGGGGCTCGGTAATTTGTAACTGTAATCCATTACATTTTTGAATAACGCGTGCACAAGTCTGATCAGAAGTGCGTGGCGCGCGTTGAAGACCCCAGGCTAGCGGTTTGTGCTGCGCTGGCTAAATTGCTCATCTACAGTTGAGTGATAAGTCTTCAGTTCGGGCAGACTAACTTCCGGTTGTATAAACACACACACAAACGCACGAACGATATCGCCCGAGCTTGCTGGCAACGTGTCTATAATATGACGCGTCTAAAGCTCCGGAAGTCGCATTTTCAAATCGCAACTGTCTCCAGTTGCGTCCACTCCGCACAAAGCAACAAAATGGCGGAGCCCGCGAGGAAATCGGGGAAATGGAATATCAATACTCTAAGCCTATCCTAATCACTTGCTCCGTCAACCTCCGTTAACCTTTTTCGGTGCGCGTGTCGACGCATTCTTCCGTCCGAATAAAGGCTGGTTCACACATCTGCGTTGGTTGCGTTCGCTTGCAACTGAAACGACCGTAACGACAAAAGCACTGGGACAAGCGTTCGCCGTACACAGCACGACAAGCGATGCAAAGGGGTATAGCTTCGCGAAGCAACCTATGAGTTACTGCTGTTGTAGCGGTGTTTTGGTCGTCACGGTTGTTTCACCGTTGCAGACGTGTGAAGCAGACTTTTTACGGCGGATACCTTGGCAGTGCCTTCGCAGCGCTTTCGAGCTTTGTGCTGTGTCTGACGCGTCGTCCATTTGTTTTCCAGGCTCAGGCAAGACGACGTTGCTGAACGCCCTGGCGGGTCGTCTCCGCACGGATTCCGGCTGCACGCTGCTGAACGGGGAGCCGCTGAACAAGCAGCTCCGGCGGCGCATCTGCTACGTTCTTCAGCAGGACATCTTCTTCCCGGACCTGACGCTCAGGCAAACGCTCAACGTGAGTTTGCTGGCGTTGCTGTTGAGCGCGCGGATGCAAAGCCACACGTCACCTGCCGAGGGGCAGGGCGGGGACCAGACACGAGTGTGCTGTGCCCCGCTACGACTCGCGAGTACCCTCCGAACGCTAGGAGTTTGGCAACGACGGGTTTTGGGGAACAGTTGTCCGGATCGTCTTGCCAATTATATACAGGGTGCTTAACTTTAAATGAAACAAATTTATTTTGAAAAACTAAATCGTGAAAGGTAGGTTAATGCTGTCTGTGCAGGTGAGTTATACGGCCAGGGGGACATAAAATGGGGAAGTAATCCTTAAAATAAGTCGTATAATTAACTATAATGCGTTCAAAAACCTTTTAATTGGTGAAAATAAACATATGGTTTCAATTAGATACTTGATGAGCGTCATCTAAAACCCCCGAATGAATCAATTTGAGAACTGTTTGAAGTACGTCGTAAGCGTACATGCGCTAAAGTTTGAACTCGTACAACAGCCGCAAAGTTAGCAGTCCGAAAAAGCGGATGATAATGCCTATCTCCGCTTTGTTAAATGCTGTAGCAGAATGCAACAGCACTTAAAAAGTCTTTAGTGTAGAATGCGTTTTTGGCGAGGCTAACTCGGTGAGAACTTAACACGCAAACGCGGGACGCGAAATTGAAACGCAAAAGCTTTAGGACCGAAAAATCAATATAGAAACTAAACATTATAACACCCATATTCGTGTAAAAAGGCTGTAAGAAGTGTAGAAGTTAGAAAAAACACCCTTTTTACACAGTTGCTGGATGTCCGTGGGTGTAAGATGGGTGTGCTGATGATTTACGCCCCTTACACTACTTTTTTACGCCTCACTTGTGGCGACGGTGTCTAAAATCGTCTAAAAAGGCTGTATGGGCGAATTTTACGCCCTCATTCCCTCGGCGTGAAAGGGGCGTAATGGTGCTGCAGTCGAATACAGCCATCATTTCATAGCCGCCCATGTGTATTGCTTCGATGAAACTGTTGCTGATGTGCGGCGGTGAAAACACCAAGTACGATTAATCGCCCCACGAAGTCGCGTATTATTAAAGAATGCTAGCGAATAATAGCTTTGGCAGCTCAGATCGAACACTCCGTGCGAAACGAGCCGAAAATTACGTGTCGCGCGTGCATCAGTTTTACCAGTTCAACTTCGATTTAAAAAATCGTCTCCGCTCACAAAAAATGAACGAATTTTAATTTTTTTCTATTTATAAATTTTTGTATAGTTTTTAAAGTTCTAAATTTTTGGATCGGCATTTCGTTTTTGGTGCATAGAAGAAGAGTTGTTTATTGTATTAGAAGAAGAAGATAATACAAACCTAAGAGTTGCGAGTCAGCGCCGAGCGACTGCGTTATTTTTTAATGTGCCTGTGTCCCTAAGTGTTTTTCTTTTCTTTTCTTTTTTTTTGTGAGCCGTAACGTTACATAACATCACCAGTCTTGTACACGTTATTAAAACCAAAATAATCTATTACAATTACTCTCAGTTAAAAAACATTCAATTTGATTACACGTTTACTCGAGAAGAAAAGTAATTGACCATTACTTTAAGATAGAGCTCGTTACTTCTCCGATAACTTCAGATTTCAGAAAACGACGTAATTTTCTTCCGGTAGAAAAAAAAAGTTCAATATTGAATTAGAATCACCGAACTAGAATTATCTTCTTAATTCCCCAATTTTGTTCGACTGTTTTCCTGTCGGAGACGTGTTTTTAGGAATCATCGGTAGGAAACTTGTATAAACAAAATGCGCCATTAGAAAGGGTAGTGAAACATAGTGACGGTTGCGGGTAATTTCACTACTTCCAAAAGTATTCAGATTCTTCCCATTACATCCGAATAAATGTGATCGAATGATTACAAAATTACCCAAAAAAAGGGATTTCATTACGAGTAAGTTGATTAGTCGTACCCTACAAATCTGGAATCAGATCCGTGGTCTCTTGATTCGTGAAAAGTGGTTGAAATGAACCGACTCGGCAATTGCATTGCACCGTTTCGTGCGCACCGCTTTACGAATGAAACGTACGTGGCTCTGGGCACGTTTATGATTGATTTGTTCGCACAGCAATCACAGTTTTGTGGTAAAACCTCTAAATATAATTTCCTGTTTTGGACATCATATAAAAAAAGATGGTATGTGCCGCCCGTTTTTGTTTTTTTTCCCTCAAATATGTTAAAAACGAAGTAAGGCTCTGGAAAGGTGTAAGTCGAATAACTAACGTACTCTTTTTATATTAACATTAGCACAGGCGTAGCCTCCTCTATACTCACAATGTCTGGCAGTTTCGGAGCCCGAGGATCTGGTAACACAGGGCATCAAAGAGTCAGTTCTTGGGGAACCTGGACGTCAGCGCACAACTTTTGCAGCGGCGAGGACCCGAAACACACTTGTTCGCTCGGGAGAAGTATATGTTTCGGCGTCTCGCCGCAGCGGGGCACCAGTCACGTGGCTCTCCTCTCATCCGTTGTCTGCCGCTCCACCTTTTCCATTTCGGCGGCCGCTTTTCGTGGCGATCTGCCAGGCTTTTTCAGTATATAGAAGGCTATGACATAGGCCATGCCACATCGTTTCCACGGGCGATTTGAAAGGCCCGTGAAAGTGTAGCGGCGTTGTTTGGCTCGCCGGACGCCGCGTGTCGAACAAGTGCTTCCACGGAACGAAACGGAGAGTGTTTTCGTGCCGCTCTGCCCGTTCCCATGAGTGATCTTTGACGATAGCTGAAATTAAGTAGAGATGTATTACTCTAAATCCTGCTAATATAATAGTTGAGCGGCCGAATAATCGAAGGACCCTGCTACGAAGCTTGTGCTAACGACGCCCTGACTGCTCAGCAACGACGACGTGGGAACGAGACATTTACACCTATGTGGGGGCGTATGGACTACAAAAAGAGATATTTCTCCCCAGATAATTAACAAACAACGTCGCTGCAATATCGTAGAAGTGGTTCTCATATATTTACCTGACGCCGCGTAGGCAGTGAACGAGAAGCTACATCCACGTTTAGATTTTCCAAACAGGGTAATGCACCCGATCCACCGTTCAAGGGGGGAGGGGGGGGGGGGGGGGTAAGGAAGGAAGGGGTTTGGTGTTTTTTGTGTTTTTGTTTTTGCGTTCGATATTTTACGAATGTAACCGGCGAATTGAGTGAGCGATCCAGAAAGTGCAGCGATGCGGAGATGCCGAAGCGGGGTCGAAGTGTTCTATCATCTCCATAACTGCCCGTACATTCCACCGCGAGTTCGGTGACCGTGGTTCGTTTACATTTCTCACCGACCCTCCGACAAGGTTCACCGAATGTTGTTTTGAGTAAGCGAGGCGGAAACAATGCGGCAGAGTATAAAAAAAAAAACCTCCTTTCGTCCTTCGTGCATAGCCACTGACGACCCGAGCCGGGGTTACCTTGCATCTCCCTTAGTGATTGGTTCTCGGACGTTCTTATCGGCTCATGCTGCAATCTGATTGGTCGCGGAGCGATAATGAGATGCTCGGGATTGGCCACGCCTCTCCTTTCTTAAGCTATAACTGACGCATATATAGGCGAAGGAATTCCGTAGTTCTATATTTCATTCCTCGACGTTCCACCGCGTAGGCCCAGAGTATCGAACCCACTTTTAACGCAATACGCAAACGTCAGTCTCCTAAGAAACGATCCGTAATTTCTCCCAATCAAGCGCCTATATAGAGGCTGCATTTCTGGTGCGAAAACATTCAAGACCTTGACGTCGTACAAAAATGACTTACAAGAAGGAACTTTTCTTTTAATTAGTTAAGCCGATTTCGCGCTAACGCGAAAAGCTTTCCGTTGGCGCATTTCATTTGGCGACGTAGTAAAGCAAACCACGTTGAAAATGGTTTCTTTCCCTCACATCTCACCTGCTCCTCGTAAAACGTCCAATGACTCGTCGTCTTTCTTGCCTTTGCTTCGCTAACGATCCCTCAGGCGATTTCGCACTATTCGCGACTCCAGCAACCTATAGGGTGCGCCACCACCAAACAAACATGACGGCTGAGTCCAGGTCGCGTCGGCTCGGCCGGGCCGCCTGAACAGGTGGCGCGTTCAATTTAACAGATTTTCTTTTGTTTAATGCCCAATTTCATAGGTATTTGAACTGAGACGGTTAAGCGTATCCGGTGCAGATAAACTTGCAAAGCATAGTTTTGTTTTGCCGGTGTTTTTTTGTTCTTTTCGTGTCAAACTTTCGTTTCGGAAATTTTGTTCAAAACCGAAACTATGGGCTCCGGAGAGACGGTAATATACAAATCAGTTTTGATCATCTAAGGAAAGCGGCGACGACTATAGAATTGTACCACAGATAGTAACTTTTCAGCTAACTCGCATGCCTCGATTTCGTGGACTTATCTGTCCGCGAAATCAAGCTTTTGTGCGTATCCGTGTTTACAGAACGTCTGCTCGGCCAACAACACAGGCTGCAGGAAAATTACGAAAATTAAGCAACCGCTTCTTGAGCGAAGTACCATGTTAACCCGCCGGCGCCCCACTAAGCAGCTGATACTCGTATTTCAATTCAGGTTTTAGTAGCAATCGAGAAGTCATTTTGACGAGCGGGTTATGTATTATTTTACGTACTATGGTCCCACTAAAGCGATATTAGTATATCCTTCGGGTTGAAATATGAGCTTAGTTGACTAGCTATTAGGTGAGCTGCTGAATAAAAGTATATTTTACAGACGGAGACATACTACTTAAACTTAGCCAAATGGTTCTATAGCCGGCAGCACGGAGACAAACTGAAGAGAGTCTTCTTTGAAGATCCACGCGGAACCTCTCTGCATTGAACTTTGCTTCGAATCCTGAACGGAGAAAATTAGTATTTTTTTGTGGCCGGTCAACCTGACCAATGTAGACGTATATTGCTGCTGGCTTCGACGTCCTCTTAATATAAATATTGGAGGCGCGACAGGTCAAAATGCCGTGACAGCATCTAACGTTGCGAGACTTGTCTCCCACCTTTT